GTAGTGAAATACTAGAGGGAAGGCAGCTAGTCATCACCACCCACCGCCATCTCTTGGGCTACTCTTTTACCAACGAATAGTGGGATTGATCGTCACTTATAACACCCCCACGACTGAAAGGGCGAGCATGTTTGGTGTGACAGTGATTCGAACCCGCGACCCTCAGATTGCGAGTCAAGTGCCTTAACCACCTGGCCATACCGGGCCATTGTGTTTACTTCTGAAGTTATGGATTGAAGCTGAGGACACATAACCCATTTTGTTTATATCTGAAGCTCCACATTGAAGCGGGGGACACATAACCCACTTTGTATACTTCTGAGGGCTCTTGTGGATAATTGATACAACACGTGGAATTGACTGATAGATAAACAAAAGTTTATAAGTTGCCACCTAACTTTGCAACGTGTAAATGTGAGCAATAGATAAGTTTTCCTGCATTTAAGGCTACATATTAATCTTGAAGGAACGCATATTTATTCCGCAAAGTGAGGTTATACAATGTAGAAATGTATAAAAAAAAAAACTATAACCCGAACGCTTTTGAAAGATGGACCTTTCTTCTTCACCTTTCGAAAGCGCTCGGGTTATAGGGTTTTCATTTATTTCTGTCAAGACTTCTTGAACCTAAGTGTTTTTCTAATATCATGGTTATACCTGATTTCTTCTCTATATATGAGCCTGTACAAAGAATTTTATGTAATATTCCTAAGTTATTTTGAAAACCTTTACACCGAAACTTATCAAAAATACGACAGTGAGTTTCAATCGCACACTTATTTTTACCATTAAATAAATATAACACATTTCTCTTTTGCAGTACTTATTATGTTGCTAAATGTAAAATATCTATAAAAAATCAAGGGTAGCGTTTGTGCGTGAATTCATGCACTCAAGCTACAAATTTACTGAGTCCTGGCATAACAATTTCATTCCAATTTCTTCTATACGTATTTGAAACCGAAGGAACTTCATGAAACCGGAATACTTCAATCCTTGACTTAAATGAGTCTAAGCCAATTGATATATAATTTAGTTTGTCCTATTTCTCATTGGTTAATGATACATAAACAAAAATATATTCGACGACTCGGAGGCGTGTCTTTTTAAAAAAAGGAAAGAAAAAAGTTAGATGTATTGAACTATGCGAGGCTTAGCAATTAACATACTTCAACTGTGAACCCAAAAATCTGTGCGATTTCCGCACTTTAGAACCGTGGGTGCGCTGTACGAGTGTCGGTCAAATCTCACTATTCGGTCAGACAAGTGAACCCCAAGAGTTGAAAGTTGGCGGTGGGTACTGATGATTAGCTTCCTTCCCTCTACTTTATCAAACCGAAATAATGGGCGGCTGTATGCAAGTACCCCTTCCTGTAGCCTTGTGTGAAAAGTTTGAAACAAATGAAAAATATTATTTCAGGTATGATCACATAAAAAAATGGAAGACAACGACCTCTATCTTTAGAAAAAGACGACAATGGCCTCTATGGTCAAGATCATCATAAAGTATTTCTATTGCTATTTGTGACTTACAAAAAATTAATATCTATTTAATGTTTATCTGTTGTTAAGCGAAGCTACCTACCACGGTTATCGAAACCCGATTTCTAGCGTTATAAGCTTTCAAACTTTCCGCTGAGCCGGTATCTAGGTTAGTTACAGATTACAACATTATTCCGCTGAGGGTATTTCAAAATAAAGATGATAAGATGGCTTTCTAGCTATGTTATACTTTATCGAGCAGTCTTTATTGCTTTGCTGTTGTTTTTTTTATTACTATTAACGCAGCTTTTGAAACTTTATGACGGTAATATCAAAAATTACTCTGATTAATCACTTCGCTGTCGGAGGTTCACGTTTTGCGAGTAAAATCGCTAAGCAACTAGCTAATGAAATCCAATAACGGTCTATCTAGCTGGTTGGTTGGAAAAGTTAGAAAGAAAATATCAAAATATAAAAGGCGTCATTTTTAACGGAAGTTGTTTGATTCAGTTTATTTGAATCACTTAACTGTCTTCCAAGCGTGGTAAAAGTATTAGCTGTCATGCTTCTGTTTTTTATTGCAACTTTAAAAACAAACTACTTAAGTACTTATGAGGCTTACTCTTGCCTATTTATTCTTCTCATAATTGCAAATCAGACCACTGGATTGTTTTTGTCAAGACAAGTCACTAGTGCCATCTATTTTTGTTTATTGTTACTATAAGCTTTATACAATAATTGTATTATTAGAAAAAAATCAGAAGTACCTAAGTGATTTAGAATTAAGTTTGCTTTCTTCAAAGCTATTTTAATTTGGCAATTGTTTATCTGTATTATGTTCTTTATAAGGAAAGCCTTTACTGATGCTAATGGAGCCTGCTGTTTTTCTATTTTGTTGGAAGGCATATGGTCTGCAAGTTATCATTGTGTCTATTGGCATAAGTTTGGACTGTTTGGAAGACCTCGTTAAATTGTACTATTTCATAAAAGGACCTTAAGTTTTATCACTGTCTAACTGTTTTTAAGTTGCTGTTTACTTGAGAATATCTAATCTTTCCATTATGCCATTTTACTAATTTATTGGAGCCGAGCGCTGCCCAGTGGCTAGTGAGTCTGACTGTTAATCCGAGGTTCCATGGTTAACACTTAAAGGAAATCGCGCTCTGCACTTTAGGGCAGTGGATGCGTTATAAGAGTGACGGTTAAATTTCACTGTTCGATTAGAATAGCCCACGAGTTAGCGGTGTTTATCAGCTGATTTTCCTCTGGCGACGAGTTTATCACTTCAAAATTAGGGACGGCTAACGTAAATAGTACAAGACTGGAATACCTTTGCGCGAAACTCAACAAACAATAACTAATTTATTGTTTTTTTGGAGTTCCGTAATAGTGGAAAATACCGATACTGTAGATTACTTACAGATACCGAAACGCCTTAAGAAAGCAACAAATGCATAAACAAAAATGTGTAGAAAGAAACATGTAAAACACTATGACATCTCTCAAATTATCAACATGTCCACATTTATTAGGATCTGTCCCGTGATGGTTCAGGGTAAGCTTTTCGGGCTTACACTAAAATCTGGAGATGGATTTCCTACAATGGACAAAGTGCAGGTAGCCCATTGTATAGCTTTGCCAATAACCACAATAACCATTACAGGATCTTTATCATATCACCAACACGGGGCTAAAAATACAAGAAATATGTAAGATAGGCCCAGTTTAATCTTTTGTTTTGTATCTGAGAAATCTCGCACATGGATCGAATGCTTGATATGAAAAGTATTCCCTAAAACAGGAACCCCAAACCAAATCTCACCAGAAAATTGTAAATTGTTATTCATTTGTGGAAAATAAATGAGTATTTTCTCAGACTGGATATTTGTTTTCCTTTTTTTATGCAGATTATTCTATTGCCACTACATCTTCAACTCTGAAAAACTATAAAGAAAGAACAGAGCATAAACTTTAATTGTTGGAAGTAACATATTCTGTGGACAGATGGCGCAGCAATACCGAAATACGTTGTTTTGCGATATTTTTCAATGGACATCACAATATACTACAATATGCTGTAAGTTGATCTACCCATACTTACGTATTTCACCTGAAGGAATTCGAATGGTTTTAATGTCTTTTTTATCACGAAATGTCTACTGTCTGCTGAACAACTGGTGTTTAAAAATCTGATATTCGCGATGTTTAAATAATTTGGTGTTGCTATAAACACAACGACTTTTCCAGAAATACTTGTTCTATATATGGCCTCTCTTTAAATTTCTGAAGTTTAGATACGTGACTGTTTTTTTTTTTGTTTGTTTGTTTGTTTGTAATTAAGCAAAAAGCTACACAATGGGTTATCTGTGCTCTGACCACCACGGGTATCGAAACATGGATTCTAGCGTTGTAAGTCCGCAGACATATCGCTGTGCCACTGGGGGGCGTTACGTGACTGATCGTTCACCCTCTGATTGTTTTTGTAAATGAATCACATGTATATTTTGTTATTACTTCCGTTCACCTTCGGTAGCGTAGGTTATGTTTTCATCCCTCTGTAAGTGTTTATCAGCAAGATTTCTCGAAAGCGGCTGAATGAATTTGGACGAAGGTTGATATAAATTTGGACTATAACCTAACTTAGAAGTTATTAGTTTTGGAGGGTCAAGTTCAAAGGTCTAGGTAACAGCCAGGTCACGAAAATCCAGAAAAAAAAATCCCTATCTGTTAACAGGGGGTGGAGGACCGATTTTTCACACACTTTTTTGCTCTGTAACTCAGTCAAATATGATAGGATGTTGATTAAACTTGGTGGATATGTGTATAATATTGTTCCTCATTGTCCTGCCAAAAATGGTTTGTGTCCGTTGATAACGACGGACATAGCCACACATTTACGGTATTTTTGAAAGCCGAATATGATCAACACGGCGTGGCGGAGATATGTGCTCTAGTTATATAATATTTTCATCCGAAAGTTATGATGTTTGAAATATTAGCATTAAGATGGAAATAGCGTATATGTGTCTGTGCACAGTGAGCTTCAGGCTAACATTTTTCATTTTCCTTTCTAGCACATCCAAGTAGCAGTAAATGTATGTACCTAGTAATTTTTTGGTCCTTAAATATATCTTACAAAAAAAAAGCTTTTTTCACTTATAAAAGCAACTGTCTTCCGTAGCAGTTATGATTCTCGTTGATGTTTTCCTGCAAAGTGTAATAAACCGAAAAAAAAAAGAAACACTTACTAAAATTCAGTTTAAAACACAGTTATTAAGTCTTTCCTTTCTCAAAAAAAAAAGGAACTTGAGTCTCGTCAAATACTGATTTCCTTCTTGATCGATCTGGCCTTGTGCAACGCGTTACTTTAATGCCAGCTCGTGCCACGTGTTTCAGCAGTATATTCTAGTCGGTTTTAAAACTATCACCATTTTTACAAACGCTTAGCGGCAATTTTCAGTCTTCCTGCCCCGTTAATTTTGCAGCAAAAAGCCGTCGCCAGTAGATGGCGTAAAATTGTCAGCTTCCACTGCTCATAACTACTTGTAACAAGTAGCCTAGGGTGAAATTGTGTCTACAAGCCACAATTCTCTGAATGACCATCTTATGACTCAGCAGCGTCTAATTTTTCAAGATGGTGTCTGGTTTTGTTGTGAGAATGACATGAAACTTTAGTGACACTGCTAATTCATGAACATGAGATGACAGTATGTAGTTAGTGGAATTACTCTATACCTCATTACGCTATCGTGTAAGAGGGACATGTGGGTATTAATAATAGTGGTCATAGTGAATTTTCAAATCTTAACGTTTCCGATTTACAGAAGAGCTAATATAAAAACGTAAAGAAAATTAATATGCCACTAATTTCGATCATGAACTCAAATTATACAGTCCTAAGATCTGGAACCAAGGAACCGAAGACCTGCGTCAACTCTTGAGTCTGTTGCGTTTGGAAATTCACGGTTTTGAGCCACTATTTGGGAAAATGGAACTGGCCCCTTTTAAAGAACTGATATCTGTACGGTTAGTTGCACAGTTCTTTGGTATAACTTAGCAGTTTATTATACGCCATTTTTCACTTTTTGAGCTAAAACTAAGAAACCCGAATATCAGGATTCACGGTAACTCTGTAGCATATTGTTGCATCTTTAAAACCTAGTTTTAGGTTTCGCTCTTCTGAGTTCGAATTCATATATTCATGAACCACAAATCTACCATTTACGTAACTGACAGTTTTAGGTTGATTTCCGTCGTACTAAAATTTATCGGAAACAGATACTAAAGTTCAAGTTGTCGTGAATGAAATATGTTTCCGCTAGTTCTTTAAAAAAAACACGAGAATATCTGAGATAGTTAAGGATTTTGTTAATAAATAAAAAAAATCTAACCACATTTATGTTGTATGTAAAATTAATTATATAAGATAGATGTTCTGAGGAAGATATGTTAGTCTTTGATCCTAATTTCTTACCAAACCCACGTAGCTCCTGCCGATTAACACTAATTTATATATACTGTAATAATGTAAAGAAATATATATATATATACTGTAATAATGTAAAGAAATATATATATATATACTGTAATAATGTAAACAAAAATATATATATACTGTAATAATGTAAACAAATATATATATATACTGTAATAAGGTAAACAAAAATATATATATACTGTAATAATGTAAACAAAAATATATATATACTGTAATAATGTAAACAAATATATATATATACTGTAATAATGTAAACAAAAATATATATATTGTAATAATGTAAACAAATATATATATATATACTGTAATAATGTAAACAAATATATATATACTGTAATAATGTAAACAAATATATATACTGTAATAATGTAAACAAAAACTACCAGATGAACCATTTGATTAATTCTGATGATTGTACGTTACAAACGGCTACAACATACGATTTGAAATGACTCATGTAAGTAAAAAATTAAGTTATTTAGTATCAAATGTTTTACCTATATTATAGATGTTGTTTTGTTTTTTTTATCATATGTATATAGTGTGCTTATATTGAACAGACAAGTGTTAAAAGGTTAAAGGACAATGTCTTCCGTTTTAACGTACAAAATACGCTGAATCACGTTTTTTCTAAAGTCAGAATGTCAACAGTAATATATATTAACTGTATTGTTGTTGTTCTGATTTTGGTTTTGGTTTTGTATTTTCATCGCAAAGTTACATATTGGGCTTTCAGCGCTCTGTCCAACGTGGGGAGTAGAGCCTCAGATCCTAGTTTTGTAAATACTAACCGTTGACCACTTGGGGACTAATTTTCTTGCCATTAACACAATAGTACACTGACATTAAACACATTTGTTCATATTAAGTATCTTATACAATGTTAAATAGCCACTAAAGCATAATTCATGAAGGTTTTGTATACATATATCATACACTGTTGACGAGGTGGTGACAGATATTTTTACTTTTCGATCAATAAGAAAATTAGGAGTTTCGAGATTATTTCTTTGTTCTTTTTTAACAGAAGTGACGTAATGAAGTGATCGCATGCGTTCGCTGAGGTCAACAAATCAATCCTTTTTCATCGAAAGATGAATTAATTTTCGATTTCCCTATTTTATTTTCGAGAGTTAAGTCAAAGTAGATTATTGATATTACTCGTGTATTTCTTGGAGATTTATGTTTTATGAGAAAATCCTTCTCAGTGCATACTTGGCGCCTTATTTCCTGATAACCAAGCTTTTTTGTCGAAGTATAAATACGTTTGTTAAGCGTTCTAAGATAGATTTCTGTGAGTTCAATACATTCACGTTCCATTTCGTACAAGGTGCCATAGTTTTTGTGAAATTGAACTACAGTTTCATTACGAACATGTGATCAACTTGTGTACAGTTTCATTACGAACATGAGATCAACTCATGTACAGTTTGCAAGCTAAAGTGCAAAATACGTCCCAGATAGCTGACGAACAAGCAATCAACATCAAAACTTTTCACATATTGTTAACGAATATGTAAACTGAATAACTCGAACATAGGTTATATGGCATTTCATATATATATTATTTTCAACAGTCAGGGATTCAGTTATAGCGCATGAAGCAAGCAAATAATTTTGATTTCTTTAGTAATCAAAGTTATATTCAATTCTTTATTTCTTTAAAATTAGTTTCTTTTATTTGTCATATTTGAATATTACGAAAATATCGAAAACAGCGAGAGTGCCTACTGTGTGAATCGATTATAGTAATGGCTATGTTATTGTTTTATGACATAGCATATGTCTAGTTGGACTGATATATTTGAAGTCCTATCATAATTTACAGAGTTACTTGTTAGCTCTGACCTATATATATAGGTAGTTTACTTTGATCAGAAGTCATTAATAACAAGTCACGTGTCTTGAGCTTGATCTTAATTTCTCTACCTTTGTGAAAATACTGACATGCTATAGCTATCACCTTATATATTTATATTAAATGAATTATTCAGATCTATGATCTATATCTACTAAGAGAATAATGTTTCTTTACTAGGCAATTATTAGTGTGTTAGGATTTAACCTTCTAAAGAGTTTTTCAAATAAGAGTTTTGACGTTAAAAAAGTCCCTGGGAGTTGTCTGAAGGTTAAACGTATACTGTAACGTTTTTTTAGAAGTAAGGTTAAAGTAAACTGTAATGTGTTCTTTAGAAGTAAGGTTAAAGTAAACTGATAGAAATCTAAGTAAAGAGAATTCCATAACACTTGTAAAAAGTAATATTAAAAAAATGGATGTTTACCAGTAATAAGGGTAAACGTTGCCCAACGTTACACATTTGTCTAACTTCGGGTTATAGTATGCTGTTAAACGATTTCTAGAATTAAGAACACTATTAAATGTTTTCAAGATTATAAAACTAACATACCTATTATATATTTGTCAGAAATAAGGTAAGGATAAAGTAAATAGTTCGATATCCATCAAAGTTAATGTTAAAATACATTATTTTATTATATTAGCATAATGTGCTTCCATACCCATATTATGCTGGAGAGTTGTAATAAAATCAAACATTATGCTTGACAATTATACATTCTCCTAAATATCTGTTTATTAAAAAACAGAAAGGAATGTTCTTAAATTTAATTGTTTAAAAATCAAAATATTTCAAACTCCCAAATCAGCTGTCTGATTTAACCTTAGATATTTTGGTTCTGACTTTTCAGATCCTTTTTGCTCTTCGCATTGTGTTATTTCAAAAAGAATAACGTTAGATTACTATTAGACTCATATTATGATGTATATTTATTATTTTCTTGAAAGTTAGACCTTAAAATATAATGATGTACGATAGAGCAGAGATAATTTTGATTCAGTTATAAAGTTGATTAGTTGTTAAGAATTAAAGTAAAAGAAAGTTAAGTCAAATAAAGGTTGAAAAATCTGTATTTTTGTTTTTCGTTGAAAACTAATTTTACTTTTAGACTGAAGTTAGTAAAATCTCATATGGATAAACAAAGGTAAAGCAGGTGAACACATTAATAAATACAGTTGGACTTGTAAGTGAAATATTAAGATATTTTTTCCTACAACTCTAAAGTTCAGTTGTATCCTGTTCTATATTTAAACACACAATTGAATTATTTTGGTGTTTTCGAAACTACTTTTTCTCACAATAAACAAATGCAACATTACTCAACTTTGGTGTCTCTAGAAGAGATATGTTAAAACAAATAGTGAAAAAGATATGATTGGTCAGAAAGTAGATATAAAACTGAAATGCACTAAATGACAAAAACTAGTCAGTTCTGTGTGAAAATAGTAACTGAATCCGACAATATTCATAAACATTACAGTAGACGACCAATAATTTGGTTTGTAAGTTTATAACCATGGATTTGAAATATATACAGATTCCTGACCTGACATTTGGTAGTTAGTAAAAAGTGTTACTTGGGATGTTTTGTAGAGATCTCAAAATAAGTCTCAAAGTAATCTTAAAGATATGCAAATTAGCATTTATATCTAAATCCAACTCGAGAAAGTGTAATTCTATCTCAGGGTAAGCGAAGCTTATGGTTCTATCTCATTATCAACTAGGGTTTGAGGCTCCTATATAGATAAGACTTTTTTATTATGATTCTACATAAATATGATCACGGATTATGGTTCTATCTCACTATAACCGAAGCTTATGGTTATATCTCAGTATAACCGAAGCTTATGGTTATATCTCAGTATAACCGAAGCTTATGGTTATATCTCAGTATAACCGAAGATTATGGTTATATCTCAGTATAACCGAGGCTTATGGTTCTATCTCACTATAACCGAAGCTTATGGTTATATCTCAGTATACCCGAAGCTTATGGTTATATCTCAGTATAACCGAGGCTTATGGTTATATCTCATTATCACCACATCGATTTTTAACTTCTTTTTATATCTGAAATTAATTGTTTTACCAGATTTTGAAGTGTAAAGTCGAAGAAGTAAGAGCGAGAGTATAAAGCCATAAACTCGCTTGGCTCGATGACGTTTGAAATGGATAAGAGAAGCTTGAATTAGGAAAGCTGGTGCAGCTAGAGAGGAACCGAGAACAATATGAACCATAGCCGTCCACTATTTATTTGTATCTTCATAAATGTTAGTTTTGGCTGTACTCTTGGTAGTGTCCTGCTACTTGACTCCTCACCTCACCCAGTAACATGTGTCGTAGTACTTAATCTCAGATGCAACGCTCCTCTAAAGTTACTCTGTCTAAGCCGCTTAATGGTTTTTCATTTATTTTTAGGGAAAATTATTTAAAGTCTATACATGGTTTTAGTGATGTTACGTTGTTCAACCAATACTAAAATGATGACGGTTTACTTAAAACCAACACCTAGTGTTCGTGTGGTCCGTGAGTAAGGTATACTCTGTTATTTCTTTATTGTTATATTAACTAACAATCAACAATATCGGTTAAAATGTTAAATCTATCTAGATTCATTAGTTTTTAACTTTATTTATTATTATTTTACTTTTATTATAGAGAGTATTTTG